AAACCAGCATATTATTGTAAACCAAACCTCAAAACAATGTAAAACCAAAACTGTTAGGGGTGAATTAAAGCCTCAGGCAACCTACAGCCATGAGTGGAAATGGAAGGCACACTTCACATGACTGCTAGATTGGTGGTAACGTAACATTGAGAATCCCATAAAGGTGCTTACAGAAAATGACATTTTGTCATTTTGTTAAGGAAATTCCTCTTTCCTTAAATTTGTCGGGCCATCTTTATATAAAAGCTCAGTGAAACTCACCCAGTGGCAGCAGTGTGGAGGTGGACTGTAACATTGGCATATTGGGGCTCCTTTTGCTGGTCAGTGCTGGTCACTTCATCTTGAATCCTGACTGTAGCATACTGAACATCAGCAGCGCCAGAGTCAGCAGAAGCAGCAGCCTGTACAGGTCTGGATCTGCTGTGTGTAACGGTGGTGTAGAGCACATCATCCTGAGAGTGAAGCATCCATGGAGAACAGATTAAATGTCTAATGTTCTGAAAAATCGCTCTGGATAAGAGTGTCTACTAAATGCTATATTGTGATGCACCGTGTGGTCTGAAGAACAACTTTTACATTAATAACATTTAAACTAATGAATATGTACGTTTTTGTGAATTTGTGTCTGCAGGTTCCTGTGGCCTGTTTGTAGTATCAAGCTTGGCTACTGCTGCTGGGGCTCTCATAGCATGTCTGAGGTTACTGAGAGTGCACATTCATGTATGTCATGACTTTAGCCTGGCCAGGTCTAGGTGTGAATGATGTCATTTTCTCTGAAAGCAGGAGATGAACCTCAGCAGCAGTAGCACATATTCTACTTCTAGAACAGAACTCATGATAATTGGAGTCTGATAGGCTGATTAACTTAATGAATCATTGCTGTCTATAGTTACTGACTTTCAAAGGGGATCTTTGTTTTCAGGACATAGTTTATGCTGATAAGTAGGAGCCCAACCCTGTTCCTGTAAATCTACCACCAGTTTAGTTTAATTTCAGTGCACCTGGCTCTGACACCAAGATGCTCCCGGAGGACTGAAACAGGAGCCCTGTGTGGAGCAGGCTCTGGAACCCTGCATGGAGCCAGAGTCAAGCACTGGAGTGGCCCAGGAAGCGTGAACTGAAGCAACTCAAGAAGGAGAAATGGGAGCCTGGGACCCGGAAGTGGTTCCATCCAGAGAGCAGAAACTGGAGCTGTCCAGGGAGGTAAACATGAGATTCAGCTCTGGTAGTAGTTACCTTTCCAGAGGAGGCACGTAGAGGTGCCACCACAAGACAGGAGGACCTGAGAGCCACTACAGGCAAGGTAAGTTGGAGTGGCAGGATAAGGTCAGGTGTCTATTGGCCATTGCTTGTACCCTTGATGGTACCGCCCCAGAGACAAGAGGGCCTCCACACCAGTGACATTTCAATGCCTTTTTTTTTCTTCTGAGAGTGTATAGTATCAGGAGAAAATCATCATTCAAAAGAAAATACAACGTGTCCTGCTGATGACCGTTTAGAAAGCAGGTCCAGATCTCACTCTGTTCTTCAGATCTGATCAAGTTTATTGTCATCAACTTGTTAATACTGTACTGAGATCAGTACTGAAAAACCCACCCGTGATAAATACTAAACACTTCATGCAGTGACAAGAGAAAAGATGGAACTGGATAAATTATGCTGGAACATGCTCTGCACAGAAGACCTTACAAACAGCCTTAATATTAGACATGAAAAACAAAAAAGTCATAGTTTTACTAGTACATAACTTTGCAGGAGTTTTAAGAGAAACTCATCTTTTGCTGCAGCTGAGAAGGTCACATGCTTCCTGTAGGAGGAAGTAGCATGTTATTGAGCCTGGGTATTTTTATTGAACATGAGAACTTATTCTTGAGAAGTGTTAACCACAGGTAACTTAAAATACATCAGTGCTGCCTGTGTTCTCACCATTTCCCATCAAGACGCTGGTGATGAGCCTCGTTAAAGGACGGTAAGATCATTTCTTTATATTACTAAGTTTTAATTTACTATTAGAATCATAAACATAGTTTTATATTTTTAGGAATGTTTATTCAGTGCTAGGAAATGCATTTAGATTCAAAGCCATTTCAGTGAGAGTGGCTTTTTTTTTGGGATACAAATTTTAGCCTTGGTCCATTAGAGGTCTTCATCAAGCCAATATTCAATACATTAATTTTCCTACATAAAACATTTAAGTAAGATATTCTAGGATGACAGTTAATTCCACAGGCAAATCACTTCATTTTAGTGTGGGCATAATATCACTGAACATGTAGTTTGGAGAACTGCTACTCAGTGACATCTTCTGGGTTTGTCCAGTTCTACTGCGTGTTCCTGAGAGAGTCTAAATGAACGGCTTCCTGTTGTGGTTCTGTGCAAAATTATAGTTTGTGGATGTCTAATCATTTTTTTCCAGAAAATGCATTTAACACATTATTGAATATTATATGTAATTTCAGTGCAACATTTTTGAGTGCTCTAACAGAGTCTTATGTGTGTTCTTGACGTCAGTGAGAATGAACTGCTTTAGTCAGCCAATATGATGATCACCTTGCCAGCCGATCAGCACTCAGTAGCAGGAAAGCCAATCAATCAGCACTCAGTAGGAATAATGCCAACCAAACAGGATTAATTGTGTATCTTCAGTCACCCCTCTTCAATGAGGACTCTCAATGAGGATTTTGTCATGTTTTTGATATGATGAGAGTAATAGGAAGTGGCCAGGCTCTCCTTACTCTGATGATGAGGCACTCTGTGCTGATATTTTAATTACATGTTAAAGTGTGATCAGTATTGCTTTTGTTTTTTATTGCTGAAGAAGAATTTCATCACTGTAGTGAATCTTTTGATGAGAATGAACTTCATTCCTTTTTTATTAACTCTATGTCTTCAAGACTGAACTCTCTGCCTCTCTTCCTCTTGAGCTTGTTGGCCCCTTTTAAATCCTGTGCCTCATCAGTAAGTAGGCAGGGCTGCACACAGTTTGCATGACAAGCTGCTGTTTGCACTGCTCAATGGAATGTACCTTTTTGTGACTGCAATATGCATCCACAATATGCCTGAATTTAACATTTCACTTACTAAAAGCATAAGCAAGTAATCCAGCTTGAAAAATGACCAAAACCAACTTTTTTCCCTGATGTTTTATCTGTGTCTTTAGAAGGGTCTTTGGGGTCTTAACATGATCAGTGGTGTGTTTGTTGGGTTTCAGAGAGCAGGAAGGGAGTTTGGCAGTAGTGATGTATTTCAGGTCACGTCATTACAATCACTTCACCCAATAACATCCTCATTCTGAAAGTCCAGTTTACCCACAGAATGCCCACTTTTTATTTATTTGTAAATTAATTTATTTTATTTTACAGGACAGTTTCTGACTAGTATTTCATAGGTAAATATGTACCACTTACAAGCGATTTTCTGGTACACTGTCATGCTTCCTGGTTCTCAGTCAGACACTCATTCCATCAAGGACTCCATTTTCCAGAATCCCTCTGTCAGTCATGAGACTTCTTCAACCAATCACAAACCACTTAGCAGTACACAGTCATCTGAATTCTAATCACCACCACCACCTGTTGAACTCTGTTTGTACACTAGTCTGTTTGGTTCATGACTTTTGCAAAGTATTGCCATCGTTTAGTCAGTGCATACCAAACCTTGCTCATCTCCCTTTGAATAAATCTTCTGGGTTAATTTTTATCCACGAGTGTCTGATTCACAAACCCAATGTTACATTGTCGCATTTTCAAGAAATATGTTTCGTGTTAATTCCAGGTTTTGTGTTCTGCAGTAATTATGTATGGGTTTATTCTGCTAAGGACTTTTATTCTGAAGGGCGTGACTAGCCTGCTGACTCTGTTTATGCGTTAGAACAGGATGAACTGGGAGTCAGAGCTAGTGTGCAGACCTAGATGTCATGATCTTGTTCTGGCCTGCCCTTCTGCTGTTTTAAGACAATACAGTAAGCATAATTTCTCAAGATATTGTACTATTTTGTTTGCATTTTCTGTTAACTTATGTCTAAAATAAAATGGATATAAAGTAGTTATTGCATTAAGTTCAAAATCCAAAGGTTGTGCATGATTAATGAAACCTTGCTGCACCACACACAGTGCCCACTTTTCTGTTCTTGGCTGACAGAATTGAAAACTGATATATGGTTTTCTGCTGCTCTAGAGTCTGAGATGCTTTTCTGCTCACCACAACTGTACAAAGTGTTTATCTGAGTTACTCAAGCCTTCCTGTCAGCTTAACCTGACAGGCCATTCTCTGCTGACCTCTCTCACCAACAAGGTGTGTCTGCAAAACGTTCCCTCATTTTTTATTTTTTATTTATTTATTTTTTTCTTTATTGCACCATTCTGAATAAACTCTAGAGCAGAGGTGCACAACTCCAGACCTGAAGGGCAGGTGTTCAGCAAAGTTTAGTGATTTACCCACTCAAACACACTTGATTACACTTGTCTGTTTGAGTAGGGAAACCTCCAAACCATGCTGGACACTGCCCCACCCAAGACCAGAGATGTGCACCCCTGCTCTAGAGACTGTTGTGTATGAAAATCCCAGGAGATCAGCAGTTATAGAAATACTCAAACCAGCCTGTCTGGCACCATCAATCACGCTATGCTCAAAATCACTTAGATGACATTTTCCCATTCTGGTGGTTGATGTAAGCAGTACCTGAAGCTGCTGACCTGTATCTGCATAGTTTTATACACTGTTGCCACAATTCAGCATTTGGGTGTTGGTGATGAGTCTAAGTACTGAACAGATATCGTTGCTTTAGTTCTGAAGAGTTTTAGTCTGTTTTAGTTAGACAGAGTACAGTGTATTTATTTACACAGTGTTTGGAAAAAACAGTGTTTTCAGGGCTGATAGATGTTTGTTACAGTGATTTCTAGCTTGATAACAATACAGTACATGAAAATATTTCAAGTGCTGCATTGAATTAAAATTGTACAATTCAAATTACAGGCATTAATGTGATGACATCACCCAGAATGGCTCTTCTTCTGATCTTTCTGCTCATGATTACAGGTGAGTTATCAGATACTAATATAATAATCTCTACAACAGCAAATTGTTTTTTGCATCAATCTTTGACTTATAGGTATAAGGTGACTAAACATGAATTAGTCCATGGCAAGAACTACACAAGATTCATTACATTGATAATTAGTGCTTCTCTTTAGTCCCCTCCCTCTCTCTCCTGCAACACCTTCAGAGCTCTTCTCACTTTTTGGTTTCTCTCAGAATCAGCTCAGTGTTGTAGAGGAGCTGCTGGAGTTAGAGAGGAGAGAAGTGAAGCTGTAAGCTACAGTAACTCTGACTGTCTTATGGGCTCCAGACTCTGTAATCAGCTCTTTCATGCATCATATGTTTCAGGAGCTTTTGGAACAGAGTGGAGTGTGAAGTACAACCAACAGGAAATATGTGCTTTAAAAGGATCCACAGTGTTTATGAATGGAACTTATACTCACCCAGAAGGTCTTACAGTTACAGAGACTTTTTGGTTCATAGATCTAGTTCCAGGGGTGGGTCTGACTGATCTGAGTAAAAACCCAGATTATTCAGGCAGAGTTGAGTATTTAGCTGATGAACAGAAACCTTTCTCCCTCAAACTGAGTGATGTAATGAAGAAGGATGAACATCAGTTCTGCTTCAGAATCATAACAAATGTAAATAAAGAAAAATGGCAGGGTAAACCTGGAGTTCAGCTCAGAGTTACAGGTGAGTTAAATCATCAGGTTTTTTATTATTATTATTATTATTATTATTATTATTATTACTACACACACACTTAATTTACATTTTTAGTCCTGATTTAGTCCTGGACTCTTTACTCTGCATTTTCTTTTTTTTTTATGTACATACTTATTTTCTTTTGGCCTCTATCATACATTTTAAGGTCAGTTGATTGGGTATTATTATGGGATTGAAGAGCTGAAAGACAATGAAGACCAATGGCAACCACTTCATATATTTTAATCCCTTTATTTCTCAGTGACAGTATGAAAGAACTTGAAAATCTAAGCTTTTGTGATGACTGACTGACTGACTGAGTTTTTTTGTATGCTTTCTTTCCTGATTGAATGTTTCTCCATTTAGACCTCTCTGTGGAATCATCTGCAGAAGCACGGAAATAGTTGAGAGCACAAGTGTACCTGACTAACTGCAGCTTTTTGTTCCTGACCTGATGTTTTTCTCGTTGTCTTAGAGCTCCATGTGGAAACTCCTGAAGAAGTGACAGAGGGAGAAACAGCAGATCTGACATGTAAAACCACCTGCAGTCTGACTGACCCAACATTCATCTGGTACAAAAATGGACGTCCTTTAACCACAAAGACCATCAAGAACAACCAGCTCCACCTGCAGACAGTCAGCAGTGAGGATGCAGGCAGTTATAGCTGTGCTGTAAGAGGATATCAACATCTCCAATCTACTGCTCACAACCTCAGAGTCAGATGTGAGTTTAGTTCATATTCTTCAATTTATGCCACAGATGTTCAGAGATGTATGAATCAAGATGCTTCATGTGAGTCGAGTCTTGAGCCTTTAGTAAAGAATTTCAGTCTTGTTATCAGCTGCACTTTTCAGGTTTGATCCAGCTTTAAATATTGAGTCTTTCATTACAGGAAAACCCTTCAGTCTAAAGAGCAGACATGAAGCATTGCACACAATAAATAGGGTGCTTAAAATAAAGATTATAAAACAACGTAACGTGGTTGATTATGCTGTATATTATAAGTGTGCTTGCTGTCTAGCTTAATAGCTAATCCAGCTAAAAAAAAGAGTAAATGTTAAAAGAATTTGATCTGAAACTTACTGAAATTTTGCTAGACTATTTGCTGACTGATTGTTTTGTTATAATGAAAGATAAATTTGAAACTGTGCTGAACCTGATGTTGCCGTGAGCTGCAAACTAATTGTTTTTATTTTTTCAGATTTTTGTCTCTGGGCCTGTAGTCACAACCACTTAAGATCACTTATCAACATATAAACAAATAATAATAAAAACAAGTGCCAATATGAAGAAAATAAAAATAGCTTTTGACATCATGACAGTGACTACTGTTACCAAGGTACTAATATAAATTCACTACAGTACCCATAATGCAATACCTTCAAACCTCAACTGTAGCTGTGCCAAATTGAAACAAAATCACGCATGTAAGGTTGGAACCAAACAATTTTGTTTATTTGCTTAAAGATCAGTGTTCCTAGTTCAATTAGTTTTGTTCACGCTTTATCTATTTAGCTGTAATTTGGCAAGTTTTAAGTTTGAAGTCTAAGTCGAGTCACCAGTCAGTTACACTGGTGAATTTTCTATATTTCTGCATAAATGTGATCTAAAACATCAGAATTTCAAGTCCTAGAATTAGATGAAGAGAACCAAATGAAACAAATAAGAAATATATCAGACTTGGTCATTTTATTTTTTGAGGAAATACCTGTGAGTGGCAAAAGTATGTGAACCTTTGCTTTCAGTATCTGGTGTGACCCCCTTTTGCAGCAATAACTGCAGTTAACATTACCGGTAACTGTTGATCAATCCTGCGCATCAGATTGGTGGAATTTTAGCCCTCTGTACAAAACAGCTTCAATTCTGTTATGTTGGTGGGTTTCCTCACATGAACCTCTGCTTCAGCTCCTTCCACAACATTTCTATAGGATTAAGGTCAGGACTTTGACTTGGCCATTCCAAAACATTAACTTTTACTCTTCTTTAACCATTCTTTGGTACCAAGATTTGTGTGCTTAGGGTCGTTGTCTTGCTGCATGACCCACATCCTCTTGAGTTTCATCTCATGGACAGATGTCTGGACATTTTCCTTTAGAATTTGCGGGTATAATTCAGAGTTCATTTTTCCATCAATGATGGCAAGCTGTCCTGGCCCAGATGCAGCAAAACTGGCCCAAACCATGATACTAACACCACCGTGTTTCACAGATGGGATAAGGTTTTTTGTGCTGGAATGCAGTGTTTTCCTTTCTCCAAACATTTAAACCAAAAGGATCTATTTTGGTCTCATCCATCCACAAAACATTCCATTAGCATTCTGGCTTGTCCATGTGATCTTTAGCAAACTGCAGATGGGAAGCAATGTTCTTTTTGGAGAGCATCAGCTTCTCCTTTCAACCCTGCCATGCACACCATTGTTCCATTTTCCTGATGGTGAACTCCTGAACTCCTGGCCTTTAGTTGCTTAGAAGTTACCTTGGGTTCCTTTGTGATCTTGCAGACTATTACACGTCTTGCTCTTGGTGTGTTCTCTGTTGGTCATCCACTCCCGGGAAGCATAACAGTGGTCTTGAATTTCCTCCAATTGAACACAATCTGTCTGAATAATCTCCTTTGTTTGAGCCATGATACACTTCCACACACGTGTTGTGAAGATCAGACCATAATAGATCCTTGTTCTTTAAATAAAACAGGGTGGTCATTCACACTTGATTGCCATCCCATTGATCGAAAACATCTGACTCTAATTTCAGCTTCAAATTATTTTCTAATCCTAAAGATTCACATACTTTTCACACTCACAGATATGAAATATTGAATAGTTTTCTCAATATATAAATGACCAAGTCTACTATTTTTGTCTTGTTTGTTTAATTTGGTTCTCTTTATCTACTACTGAGACTTGTGTGAAAATCTGATGCAGTTTTAAGTCAAATTTAGGCAGAAATACAGAAAACTCTACAGGGTTCAAGCATCACTGTAAGTGTGTTTTTTGAGATGTTGGTCAGTTGCGCACATGTCCAGTTCATGAGTCAGTCAAGTGCACATTTGAGTAGAAACACAAGTGAGTTAATTCCGAATGGGAGTCAGTTAAGTTTACACCTGTTTACGTTCAAGTTGTGAGTCTGTTAAGGACAAGCCTGATTTGAGAGTCAATTATGTACTTGTTTGAGTGAAGTCGAGAGTCAACAAGTGTACGTGTGATGTTGAGTCACAAGTGAGTCAAGGACCATCTCTGCTTTATGGTGTAAAAAGTAAACAAGATAATGAATGTCTGAATAACATACAGTCACTGTAATTTTTTTTTTAAATGTGTCTTCCAAATCCTCCAAAGAGCGTCTCGGTGTCCATCAGTCCCTCTGGTGAAATAGTGGAGGGCAGTTCAGTGACTCTGACCTGCAGCAGTGATGGAAACCCACCTGTGAAGAACTACACCTGGTTTAAGGAATTAACATCAGTAGGAAATAGAAAAACCTACAGCATTCCTAACATCAGATCTGAGGACAGTGGAGAATACATATGCCAGAGTCAGAATGATCATGGAGAGAGAAGATCCACTGCTGTACAGATTAATGTTCTGTGTATGTTGATGATGATTTCTAAGGTTCCATTAAGTGATTTCCAGACACTCACTTTCCTCAAAGATCTTTTTTCTTGTCTGCTGTAGATCCTCCAAAGAATGTCTCAGTGTCCATCAGCTCCTCTGGAGATGTGCTGGTGGGTTTTTCAGTGAATCTTACCTGCAGCAGTGATGCAAACCCACCTGTGGAGAACCACATGTGGTTTAAAGAAGGTGGGACCTCACCTGTAGGATCTGGACACAGTTACAGTCCTCTACAGAGTGGATCTTACTACTGCAAGGCTCAGAATCAACATGGAGCTCAGAGATCAGATCTGGTGCTAGTCGATTTAAATGGTGATGCACGCAACTCCATGAATTTGTATTTGAATATGTTTCAGTTTCTGTATCACATGATTAACAATTAATTATTCAAGTCATTTTTGTGCAGTTTCTGATTATGTATGAGTTCTTTAGAGTATGCCATTTTCAACAGGACACTCAGTGATTCTGTATTCACCTGCTGGAGTCGGACTTTGTGAGGTTGCAGTTTTTCTGACTGTTTTTTTCTGGATGAGGTGAGAAAATTATGCAGAGATAATTAAGTTAAATACTGTTGATATTATTATATAACTAATTTTTTGGTTGAAAAAATCATCCCATTATATAAATTATTAATATGAAAACACTAATCTTCATTATTTTATGAAGCCTCTGGAAGAACTTTTTTTTTTTTATCGGTAAAAATCTGGTGCACACATCCTTTCAGAAAGTGTGTTATACATATATATAATTTTTTGCTTGTTTTTATTTATTTATTTATTTATTTATTTATTTATTTTTTGGTGAGCAGGAGGAAGAGGCAGAGCAGAAATATGGATGACCCAGACTATGTGGTGAGTTCATTTTTTAATTCTACATATCAGTCAGTCAGCAGTTTGCCATTTAACCCTCCTGGTTCCCTTGGCTAAACAGACCCATTTATGACCCGGTTCTCTAACTCTCTGTTCTGCAGAACACAGGACTCAGAGTCAAGCCTCCTGATGACGACTCTTGCAGTGTTAATGTCTATGAGAACATGACAGTGAGTCAATAACATTTTTTATAAAATGATTACATTGTTATTACACTACACACCAACTATATTTTATAGGATGAAGAAAATAAAGATTTCAGTCCTTTTTTTTGGTTGATCTAATCACCATTTTATTACTGGTCACTAGAAATATAGATAATTTTAATATATATTATACACATTACTGTACATACTATACAGTATTATAACTATTAAGACAATACTAGCTATAATTATGTGAGAGGGAGTGCTGTACTGTGAGATATTGGTTATATGATGAATCTTTGAGCATTTTATTGAGGTTATACTAGTTTCATGTTTGATTTTTATTAATAGTTTTTTATTAATAGATTTTTAAAAGTTTATCACGAAACATTAATTTACACTGCATGAATAAAATAGCCCTGATCTAGTGCTGCTGAGCATAAAGACTACTGGAAGCATATTCATCAGACAAAATGTAAACAAACCATAAACCTGTCAGTGAACAGCTTCAGAGAACCAGTTACATATTTTACATGTGTAACACATTTTAAAGCAATATGATAAACTCAAACATGGTACCACTGACTAAACCTTCCAGCAGGCTAACAATGGCCTTATAAACATTAGAGGAAAGATCAAACAGCTCACTGTTCTCCACCTCATGGTTCAGTTTATCCTCATTAGTTCTTTGGCAAGTTTATCTGTGTTTTGATCAAAGACAACATACTTTACTGCAGCATTTAAGGTGGAACATCACTGTAATGTAAGTTGTTGCCCTTGGCCAAAAAAAATTATTTGTATCTGACCCGTTCTCTGATTCTCTGTTCTGCAGAAAGAAGTTTTTAGAGGTCCGGCTCCTGATGACGACTCATCCAGTGCTCAAGACTACGAGAATATAACAGTGAGTTCCAGATATTTAGTTGTAATTACAAAACAATCCAACTACATTTTAGAGAATGAAGTGATGACACAGATCTCACTCCTTTAAGAAGTGAATTGTTTATATACTCTTCATTCTTTCACTGGTCCATAAACATGATGAGGATTTTTCGTCCACCTTCAGTGTTTCATTGAGATTTAAAAACAGTTTCATTCTTGATATTTATAAATAGACTATTACACAAAAAAATGGATTAATAAGAAAGTTTATTTTTATTCTGTGAAGAAACAAAACTCTGATCCAGCACTGCTGCATATAAACACTACTGAATGAAGTATCATAACACAAAGTGTTCAGGATGTTTACACTGGAAACATGTTCATCAGACAAAACATAAACTATGAACGTATCAGCCAACAGCTTAAGTAAATACATTTTATATTTAATAAGTGATTTACACATTTTAAATCAATATCAGGAACTGACAGCAGATTATGTTATGTTATCACTGCCTAAAACTTCCAGCAGGCTAACAATGTCCTTATGAACCTTGGAGTCATACAGCTCACTGTTCTCCACCTCATGGATTAATTTCTCCTCATACGTTTTTGGCCAGTTTATCTGTATTTTGATTAAAGGTAGCAGGCTTAACTGCAGTATTTAAGGTGGAATATCAGCGCAGTGCAGTCCTGGTGTCCTTAGCTGAAATATGACCCATATCTGACCTGTTTTTAACTCTCTTTTCTCAGAACACAGGTCTCAATGCTCCTCCTCCTGATGATGACTCATCCAGTACTGATGACTATGTGAATATAACAGACGACTATGAGAATGTAACAGTGAGTCCCAAACAATAGCATCTTATTACACTGTAATTACACCACAATCCATCTACACTGTTAGAGAAAGGAGAAACAAGTAATGATACAGATTTTAGTACTTTAAGATGAAGTTGATGATTTATCTACTCACCATTCTTTTATTGATCACTGATAAGAATTAAAAGAGGCATATTTATGACACTAGTTCTACATTAGTATAGAACCTGGATGACGGCAGCCAACACTCCCAAACACAGTACCTTCCCAAACTGCTTTCACATAACCTGAAACATTAACATCACAGACTTGAAAAGGCAACTGAAAACCTTTAATTAGTGTTTTAGGAACTAAATCAACCTGGTTAAGCTTGTGCAAAGCATCATGGGAACAGAAGCATGCTCTAACACTACAATATTGCCATAAAAATTTGCATGAAAAGAGACTTTGAAATTTTTTAACATGAAGTTCAGAAATTTTAAATATGTGTTCCAGTTTGTCCACCTGTTTCTTTAAAGCCAGTGAGCACTCGAGCTGGTAATGATCTCCATAAATTTGTGAAAAAGCCTCTGATAAGCAGATCAAATCCACCTAAAAGTGGTCCAAACATGAACTTTAATGAAGAGATAAGACCTAAAAACTCATTTTGTACGAAGGCAGTAACATGATCAATGTCATAAATCTTTCTTAAGTTTGAATATTGACCTAAAAATGGTAAATAAAGTGCAGAATCTTCAATATTTTTTACTTGTCTTCATTTTTCTTTCTTTTAATTTTTTCAAACTTCTAAATCTTCCTGTTTATTTCCAGGCTTAAAATGAAAATCATCCAAGATTTTCCATGTGGTCTTTTGGACCACAAAAGCACAAGATTCTCTTCCTGTAAGATGAAACTTACCAATCATTAAAATATCATCATACTGTATTCATTCCTTCAGCTTGAGGTCACTTATTTCACTGTTATCCACAGTTTTATTCACAGTTCCTCTAGTTTTGTTCATATATTGTGATTTTACTTTGTGACATTTTGCTTTATTTTGTCATTTTACAGTTGTAATTTTGGGTCATAAATGAATAAAATTTATATTGAATGTTTTTATTAAATGTATATTTTCCTCTTATTATTGTTATTTTATTATTATTTCTATGACTGATATGCGACTGTACGTGTCGATTTGCACAATAAATATCCAGTTTCTCAGAGGAGAGCACCCTCCTCCTGTCAGTTCACAAACTGCAGACAGACACCAGTGATGACGTCAAAACTCACTGACTCTTAAAGTGGCAGTAAAGACACTTATTATACCTCTGAATAGAAAATATTAAAGAAATATTTGGTAACATTTGAAAAAAGGGTAACACTTTATATTAAGGGTCGCAAATCAATCATTAATTATATAATGATCAACTATTACTTTCCCATTGTTTAGTTATTAGTTAACTCTTCATTAAGCATTAGCTATTACTTAGTAATTGATTAAGCACTTATCAATTAGTAATTAAGTACACTTAGGTCATAAGTTAGTTTGTCGTTAGTTTATGGCTTACTTACTCATTATCTGTGTACTAACTGCTGCTTATTACACTGTTAATTAACTAATAAGTATTTTTCTTCATATAAAGAAGTAACGTGATAACTTGCACTTATGTGTTAATCCCGCTAATTATCTGTTAATTAACTTTCCATCACCTCCATATATTCAGTTGCTTCACTTTTCTCACTTTGGTTCTTGTTCATTAAAGATGCTTATGGTCACATCTGACCATAAGATGAGCGCACACAAATTCATGGACGGTTTTGTTATTCATCACGTTCATCTTGGCATATCTGTACTCATATCTGGTAGGAGTGCATGTAAATTTGGGCATAAATGCTGGATATGTGGCTAATTAACCAAAACTATTATCAACATAATCTGTAATTGCAAAAATAAGAACAACAATAGAAAATATCAATAATACTAATTTGTGTGCAGGACAGTCCAGTACAGAAGTGGATGTACTTATTTTACATGCACATTGATATAAACAAGTGCTGCAACTATTTCATGTTCCATTTAAAGACACATTACACTGTGCTTTTGTTTCATACTGCTGACTCACAAACACAGCTTCGTCATGCACTGCAGTAATACAGCGTTTATTTTAGGGAATTAACTACACTAAACAATCACTCTACTATGTTAACAACACTCAGCATTTTGTTTTATTTCACGTTTTATTTTTTCCAGTTGTTTTCATTTTAATACTATTAAGTTTGGTCAGCAGGGGAGGAGTGCACTCACTGCTGGACATCAAACTCCACCCATGAGCACGGCCATTAGCTTTCATGCCAAACACTGCCGTTTTATTGGCTGGCTACTGAAACATCTGCATGAATTAGTGTGTGCTTCATGTAAATGATATGTAAATGAGGTGCTGGTAGGCTGGTTTCATGCACTGAAGCTGATTTATCATTTATGCTCAAATCTCCACTTGTTTCCACATCATGCAAAATTGTTATGAATCAGACGCAGAGCAGTTCATACCTTATAAAAGGCAAAAAAAAACGTGTTCTTTTTTTACGTAACTTTGATGATTGATGATATTAATTACTTCTTAAATTCCACTTAATCAACCATTCATTGCGTCTTAAATTCCTCTTACTTAACCATTAATTACTGCTTTTGTGTCCCTCCAAGTAAAGTGACAACACAAAAGCAGTAATTAATGGTTAAGTAAGAGGAATTTAAGAAGTAATTAATGGTCAAAATATAAAGATCTAATGGCCATGGGCCCTTTTCACAAAGAGTTGCGATTCTGTCCGGATTAAGCATTAGCAGTGAACTATAATGCTCAAACACTGAGCTACAACAGACATATGTTAGTTTTCGTGCACTATCATGACAAAAGGAAGTGAATGGAAGCACTGATTTAACTGTAAACACAGCTAAGATGCTGCGTGTGGTGTAGCCCTGCTTACTGCTCCTGCAGCTGCTCACATCAAGCAGTGTCTCTGTAGTTGTACAACATGCCAGCGATTTCTGTAATATTTCTGTTTTCAAAAGAAATTAAAGTTCTTCTGTGTCGTATGAATTTGGCAGACGTTGTTTAACTGTAGCTAGGTTAGCTAGCAACGCTAGAAGCCATTTCTAACTGTAGCTGTGTTCCCAAAATAAGGAAGCTAGTTAGATTTCATTCTGACATCACGTCTGCAGTAGCTATATGGAGAGGAAGTGAGTTTTACCCTGCTAATGCTTAAACCGGAAGTAATCACGAATCTTGTGAAAAGGGCCCATTAATCATCAAAGTTACGTAAAAAAAATAACACCCTTTTTTTGTCTTTTATAAGGTATGAACTGCTCTGCGTCTGATTCATAACAATTTTTGTACGATGTGGAAACAAGTGGAGATTTGAGCATAAATGATAAATCAGCTTCAGTGCATGAAACCAGCCTACCAGCACCTCATTTACAATCATTTACATGAAGCACACACTAATTCATGCAGATGTTTCAGTAGCCAGCCAATAAAACGGCAGTGTTTGGCATGAAAACTAATGGCCGTGCTCATGGGTGGAGTTTGATGTCCAGCAGTGAGTGCACTCCTCCCCTGTTGAACAAACTTACTAGTATTAAAATGAAAACAACTGGAAAAAATAAAATGTGAAATAAAACAAAATACTCAGTGTTGTTAACATAGTAGAGTGATTGTTTAGTGTAGTTAATTCCCTAAAATAAACGCTGTATTATTGCAGTGTATGACCGAAGCTGTGTTTGTGAGTCAGCAGTATGAAACAAAAGCACAGTGTAATGTGTCTTTAAATGGAACATGAAATAGTTGCAGCACTTGTTTATATCAATGTGCATGTAAAATAAGTACATCCACTTTTGTACTGGACTGTCATGCACACAAATTAGTATTATTGAAATTTTCTATTGTTCTTATTTTTGCAATTACAGATTATGCTGATAATAGTTTTGGTTAATTAGCCACATATCCAGCATTTATGCCCAAATTTGCATGCACTCCTACCAGATATGAGTACAGATATGCCAAGATGAACGTGATGAATAACAAAACCGTCCATGAATTTGTGTGCGCTCATCTTACGGTCAGATGTGACCATAAGCATCTTTAATGAACAAGAACCAAAGTGAGAAAAGTGAAGCAACTGAATATATGGAGGTGATGGAAAGTTAATTAACAGATAATTAGCAGGATTAACACATAAGTGCTAGTAAGTTATCACGTTACTTCTTTATATGAAGAAAAATACTTATTAGTTAATTAACAATGTCATAACCAGCAGTTAGTACACAGATAATGAGTAAGTAAGCCATAAACTAACGACAAACTAACTTATGACCTAACAGTGTACTTAATTACTAATTAATAAGTGCTTAATCAATTACTAAGTAATAGCTAATGCTTAATGAAGAGTTAACTAATAACTAAATAATGGGAAACTAATAGTAAATTAGTAATGTAAAGTGTTACCGAAAAATGTAAATAAATTTACATTTTGCTAATAAAAACAGAAAGCAATGATGTGAAAATCATTCAAACAATTAAATATCTTTAATTCAAATAGGACAAAGAAAGCATATCAAATGTTGAAACTGAGAAATTGTTTTGTTCTATAATATACATACCCATGTTGAAGTTGATACCAGCAGCACATTTCAAAAAAGCTGTGATGGGGACGTGTTTAATGCAGTGCTGCCAGAGGGCCTGAAGTTCATGACCAGCCAGTATTGGTTTTCGGCCTTGTCCTTTACAAACAGAGATTTCTCTGGATTCTCTAAGTCTTGTGTTCTGTACATGATCTTTGCTCTTTTATGTTGAGAAACATTTTTCTTGAATTGTTGCATTATTTATGTGTGCAGTCTTTCACACAGTGGTGAACTCCTCCCCATTTTTGCTTCTGAAAGACTCCGCCTCTCTGAGATGCTCTTTTATACCCAATCATGTTACTGACCTGTTGTCAATTAACCACCAGGTGTTTTTCAGCGTTACACAACTTTACCAGGCCTTTGTTACTGTCTTTACTTTTTTTATATATATATATATATATATATATATATATATATATATATATATACATTTTAACTTATTATTTTTGAGTTGATAATAAATCATTAAAACATTATTTTATTTACATTAATAGGGAAATGATATCCAGTTCTCAGAGCATAACATCTGCTTAATCAACATATCAGCTTAATCAACATATCAGACTAATTATTTTAAATCATTATAGGATGTTATATTTTGGTTATTACTCCAAAATAATGAAGTAGTTCCACTAAGGTTACATGGTCTTGGCGGTTATGTTGTTATTGAAATCAATAAAGACGTTGGAGGAGAAAAAAAAAATGCTTTTCTTCTTTGTTTCTTACCCATAATGTGTTTAAATGGTCAGGTGCAGTATGAAGTTCAGACACAGTTACAGGCTGTAATTACAGTGAAACTAAATGTTTTTGCAGCTGTCAAATCCGAACTCACTTTTCTCCATTTTGTTTCTCAGTTACTGTATCTAATATCAGGTGAAAAAACCAGTTCATCAGAATAATCAAATGTATTTATCTTAACTTTCGGTTTATTAACATGTAGAAAAATTGTGCAAATTTTGAAGATTGTATTAATAACTTATCTTACTATTTCATAACAACCTAAAAATGTGCATTTTTTGTAAAGTACAAACCCTTACTATAAAATGACCATGTTATTACCCAATTATTACTGATCTGTAAAGTAATTTTTCTGCTTTCTAGGTAAAAGTTTTCAGGATTGATAATATACTAAACTTGTTTATTTAGCTACTAATCAGACTTGATGGAAACATTCAATCACTATTTGACATGTAGGAGGAGCTCTAACACTCTCTAATCAACCTATAGTCTCATGTAGAGAGAGACAGAGAGAGATTCATGCCCAGCTTCATGCCCCCCCCCCTTCTCTCTCAGTCCAACAACACTGAAAAGAAGATAATTAATTTGGACCTCAAATTGGCGAGTCTTGCATGTGAACATTCAAATGGAGGAGGAGGATATGCTGAGGAAGTAGAGGCCAGAATGAGAGTTGAGGATGGAGAAGCTAATGTTGTTTATTATTATTATTATTATTATTATTATTATTATTAACTGCCCTCCAGATTAAATTCCCACCATATATAGATTAAATTTCTATCACATGCACTTTGATGTTTGATCTGTGTTGGTACATCAGTGAGTTCACAAGCGTTTTCTTTTCCAGCAGCAGGTTTGTGAATGTCTGTGTTATCAGTCAGGCTTTGCTGCCAAAAAGATGATTTATCCTGATTCAGAATCAGTTTTGTACACATTCATAATGACTCTAACTGTTAGATTAGAAACAGTTAAACTGATCTCAGATCATTTTCTACCCACAGTGACGACTGCATTAAGGAGGAAGTGGCTGACTGGTTACTAAGATGGTGTTAAATTCTGTGGTTTCCAAGATGGGTCAGAGAGGGGGGTGGACTGCAAATGAGAGAAAATGAGAACGAGAAAAAGAGAGAGAGAGAGAGAGACAGAGAGAGAGAGACAGAGAGAGGGGGGGGTTGGGTCTCTGTCACTTGAGGAAGTCTTGAAAGCTCTCATGATAACTTTAAGCATCATGTACATTGTTTGCTTTGTCAGGTGTAAACTGATCTGTTAGATATTTGAATCATGACCATCATCTGGATCATCATCTTCATTCTGACGCCTGGTGAGTTTTTCCTCTCACATCTGTGTTGAGTTTAAGATGATCTTTACAAACTCAGAGACACACAGTGTGTCAGATCAGTGATTGATAAAGAACAGAATATTTCCTCTTTCTCTCACTCATATTTATCACTGTTACTGTCTTAGTGAGACGTTTCTGTGTAGAGTTTTAGTCACTCGTCTCAGTCTCAGAGTTTGTTTATTACTCCTTTATACAACACGTCTTCTTTTACAGCTGGAATCAGTGCTGTAATTACTGTAGCTGGACACAGAGGACATTCAGTATGAGACCTATATAAAGTATCTCTGCAGAGGAGAATGTTCTACTCTGCATTGGGGAACCAAAGACATTCCTGCTCAGTCTGGATCTGCTGAAGATCAGAGATTCTCTCTGGATGACCACACAGCAGACAGAGTCTTCACCATCACCATCACTGATCTGAGAACAGAGGATGAAGGAACATACTGGTGTGGGATACAGAGAACTAAAGCGCTTACTGATCTTTACACAGAGATTCTATTACTGGTTAAACCTGGTGAGTGACAGTCAGTTCAGACTGATATCAGTGTTTAATAAACAGAGAAACAAATATGATACATTGTCCTGTGTGTTCAGTGAGATATTAGTGCCAAAGGGAGAATTAATTTTATGTTGTCTCTATTTCTTTTCTTCAGGTGACATAACTGCTGTCTCTCACTCCACATATTCTCCTCCATCAGTGCAGACACAATCCACACCTCTCTCCAGTTTTCCATCCCCAGGTACGAGCTCTTTCTCTCAGTCTGTTTCTATATTTGCATATCCATCATGTCATTCATCAAACCATTACCTGTTGATCTATTATAACATCTGCACTACAACAACTGAAGCTTTATTCATCCTCAAAAATAGTGTTTGTGTTAAATCTCTCTAAATTGTTTCAGTATAATAATCTTTTTAAAAAGGGTGATTTGAATCAAGGCACCTGGTCTGAGCTTACAGTTCTGCTCTCTCAGATTTTTAAAGAAAAGAAAAACAAAACAACTATTCAGTTTTTACATATGTACAAAATTAAATAAGTATGAATTTTAAACTGCAAACCGTGCCATGTTTAACATTAGGCACATTAATTAACTAGCACAGTCTATGCAGTTATATTCACATTCTTCATTAGAGGTTAAATTAGTATCATATATCGTGTATCGTATCATGTAAATGACTACATCATGGATGTGAAATGATTCATTATAGAGAAACTTACATACTCAGATTTTAAAACCTAACCCTGGCCTTAGTCCTAACCCTAACCTTTACCTCAGCCCAAAATCTAGTCCTAACCCTCACGCTGGCCCTGTTCCTAACACTCACCCTGGCCCTAAATCTCACTCTAAACTTTACCTCAACCCAAAACCTTATCCTAAATCACACCCTGGCCCTAGTCCTAACCCTGACTTTAGCCAAACCCTAATCCAGTGAAGCTCCAGGTACAGGATGGCATCAGTGTGTCTAACAGCTTGTTGAGGATGTTGAGACAGTCTGTATTAAACCTGTTACCTGTTCAGTTCCTCTCAGGTTAACCATCTACAAATATAAACTTGGACTCCAAACAAAGTGAAAAACAGCTGAATTATGAAATAAGTTGTTGATGCTACTGAGATTCTGCTGAGTTCTAATTTTATCTAAAAAGGACCACTCAACATAAAGTGTCACCGTAAATCTGAACATTTTCAACATTTATTATGTGCATTCTGTTTTATTTATGTTTTTTATGTTAAATCAGTCAAAAATTGTGTGCTAAAATGTGTGTAGAGGATGTTTTAACTTATTTTCACTTAGGAAATCAACACATTATTTGATCAAAGCACCAAAACTTTTGCATATGACTGTACCTCTCTGCTATTAATGGATTTTAAAATATATATAACGATTATATGTAATATATTTCTGCAAGAGACCTTTTAGAGGCTTTAAACTCTTTAGACATCTGGTTCCTATCACCACCACTGTGAACAGCTCTGATTCTGTCAGTTATTCTTAAACAGAACATTTCACACCAAATCACTTTGTCCTTGTTCCACAGAAAGTTCTGCTGACAGTGTTCCACTCTTCCACTCCACTCCACCCCTCACCATCGGTACATCTGTATCTCCGGCTACAAGTAGGTTCAGATCCCATAAAACTCTACTAATATCATCTTTTTTTTCTACCCATACTTTGAGATATGCTACTGAAAAAATACAGTGATGTAATTTAAAGTTGTAGCTTGTATCATTTTTTCAGATTTCTGTAAAGACATTGATGTGAAAGTTTTCCTTTCTTTTATTTTGAATGTGGGAGTTAGTTAAGAGCTGAAAGTTGTTCATTACAGATAAGTAACCTGCCTATTGGTTGACTCTGTAACTTCCTTTGCCCTGATTGGAAGATGGGTGTTTCAGCCATGTTATGTTTAAATTGAACTATTACATGGCATCACAGAAATTGAGTTGTCATTGGCCTGGACAGGGTTTGGTCTGCCATTGGTTTCAGACTTTGTTATGGCAGACTTTATAGTGATTGAGATTGGGCAGTGTTGTGACTTTGGGGTTGTAGCACTGCTTTGTCCCTCAGATGTGCTAGTCTCTGGCTGGTGAAACACAGGTATGGGTTATAACCTCTTTTCCAGTGGCTGCTTTTAGAGGACTTTGGGAGTTTTGCGTCATATATTAACTCCAGCTGTATATTTTCCATTCAGCTTTCGACTAGTTCACCATCACTGTCAATAGAGTCATAGCCCCACATTGTGTGGTGAGAGTTAGTCTCCAATCACAACAGCATGCTCCTTTCTGCATTTGGATGGTAGGTCGGGCCATACAAAAAGGGGCTGGCAGGTGGTTTGTACAGGGAGGTGATGGAAAGCATGCAGAACATGATGGTCTCCACGTTTGTGTCTGAGCTGTGGGTATGAATGTCACTGACATCCAGCTGGGGCTTCGCGAATACGAATGATCCATATATTGGATGACGGATTTCAGTTACCAGTTTCATGCCTGGTAATTTTGGCCATTTGCTCATTGGGCCCAAACGGGTATCCTGCATACAGACGATGTCTGATCCATTGCAGTGGCTAGCTAGCACATCGGCCTTTGTTATGGTGTATCCTTCAATGTTAACTGAGGGCACACAATATGCACATTTAAAGTCTGGCATATGAACAACATGTTACTGTCTGCATTAATTTCACCAGAACTTCTCTTAATGTCTCTTTACTTTCAGTCCTGAATGGTTAATGTCTCTTTACTTTCAGTCCTGAATGGTTCTACTTTAAGGTCTGAACAACCTAGTGAGTGAATGTTGGGAAATTGAATGCACGCTGCACACGACTGCTAGACTGGTGCTAATGTCACATTGGAAATCCCATAAAGGTGCTTACAGAAAATAGCATTTGTTTCAAAACCTTGAATTCCTCTTTGCTTAAGCAAGCGGCAGCTTTACATAAAATCTCCATGATACTCACCCAGTGGCAGCAATGTTGTGGTGGAATGTAACACTAACATAGCTCTGCTGGTCAGTACTGGTCACTACATCATTCGAATACCTGACTGTAGCATGGTAAACATCAGCAGCTCCAGACTTTGATTTTACCTATTAATAAAACCCTTATTTCTTTTCAATTTATGTCTAATATTAAAGTATTCTACTTGTATGTAGACCTTATTAATATAAAGAAAATGGCCAGTTAAGCGGTGCATGTTGATTACACATTTCTGAGTATTTATTAGCTGCAGGTTTTTTGCAAAGCAAGGCTGTTGAATTAAGCAAACTACACTCTGTCTATGAAAGACAAACTTTAAAGGATATTGTAACTAGTGCATAGTTTTGCACTTAATCTACACCTGGACTCCGTTGTGATACCAACTGTTCAAGCTGGAGGTCTGGAGTCACTCATGGTCTTTCCTTGGATCAAGCTGACCAGAAGGCCCAGCCTACTACTGGCAAATGTTTTTTTTTCCCTGGAAAATAAACAGATTTTTCATGTTTTTGGAAACCTGGCTCCACTGCAGCATGCCAGACTCTGCAATTCTGCTAGAAGGACTAACACAATTCCAAGCAGACTGAACAGCTAAATTCCTAAAAACAATGTCTGGTGCAGCAGTGCAGAGACTTGTGAATAATTCTGCTCACCTGACCTGAAGTTCCTGATGGTAAGATGCTGCCCGTTTTTATGTACTGAGGGAATTGACCGTGTCTTAGCGATACAACATAATGGCAGCTCCTGAAATGGTTTAACCCCTTAACAATCAAGGTTTATTTCATACAATGGCTTATTATCCAGTAACTACAGGGACTTTAATGCAAACTAAAGGAGGTATTCTTAGGTTATAGAAGTGTGAAATAGGCATGTCTATGGCTTCTAAAGGAGTTAAAAGTACATCAGCAATCACAGGCTTTCAGGTAGATGGCAAATTTATTTAACAGTCTTCTCTGGATTTGTCAAGAAATGTGTCAATGATACGATGAAACAATGATTCTTTGTCCAAACAAAGAACATTCACACAAAACACTGGATGAAGTCCACTCTTTGCTTAATGCATATGATGCAGCCTTCATGTCTGGTAAAATGGAAGATCTGAGAGCAGCCAGACACAAACTGAAAGCTGCCATCAGGGTTGCCAAGTATGTATATAGCGTTCAAATTAAGCCTACATTGTATACCCGCTTTAAGATCAACTGAACTCAGCTGACCAGTGGAGCCTCCGATCCTTCTGCTGAAGAGATGGTACTAACAGTGTCTACAGATGAGGTGAGGAGTGCTGTAAGCTGTTTAAAGTGCACTCATGCCTAGCCGTCAAACCCGATGGAATCCCTGGATGGGACCTAAAAGCTTGTTATCAACCAGCTGGCTGTCACTATCACAGACATTTTCAGTCTCTCTCAGGCACAATAAGTACTGATCCCACCTGCTTCAAAACCACAATCATCATACCTTTTCCAAAGAAAACTAATATCACATTATATTATCACTGCATTCAGCACAGTTATCCTTCCTAGACTGGTCTCCAAGCTCAAGACCCTTAGAAACAGACCCTTAGAAAGCCTACTGATGAATTCTGGACCACAGTCTTTTAGAATGCACTTCTCTCACTCTTACTCTCAGCATTAAAACATTAAGGCTGTGTCTTATCAGACATGGTCTACACCCTGTTCACCAACTTGCATCTTCAAGCACAACTCCAACACAATTATGAAGTTTGCTGATGATACAACAGTAGTGGACCTCATTAAAAAGAACATGGAGGAGTAGAGAGAGGAGGTGAAACTTCTAACAGAGTGGTGCACCAACAACAGTCTCTCGAAAGTAATCAAAACCAAATAGATAATTTTTGAAAAAAGTGACATTAAACTTTACTTTCATATATATATATATATATATATATATATATATATATATATATAATCTTTTTTTTATGAGAGTAAATTTGAATGTCACTGTTTTTTTACAGTGCACAGTATACTGTAAGCTATATTAATATTGATAAACTACTAACAATTTTCTGAAATAAAGAACATTTCTTACCGTTCTGTAATGAGTATTTATCCAAAGGATGCATAGGGAGAACAGAGACAGCACTGAGATGATAGACATGTGATTAATGTGTTTTACTGTTGCACTGCACTTCCTCTCATAGGATAAATGTGATGTTCTTAGCTGCAGAAAGAGTGTCTGAGATGTGTCTGTAATATCAGTGAAAATATGTCTTTCTGTTTTACATAATATTATACATGTAATGACATTAGACTTTATCCAGTTCCTCCTCTTCTCCTGCTACTGTATGAAGCAGTAATGATCACTGTTGTGTTTATCAGTGCTGATCTCAGTACAGTGTTACCCAGCTGATAGAATAAACATCAGATCATCTGAAAAACAGAGTGAGTGAATCTGCTGCACATTTCTATACCATCTTTAAAAATTTTATCAATACCAATTTAACAATGCTTACTATTTCAAAACCACAACTTTCAGTTTACTATGTTCACATTTGAGACTAATGTATAAAACTACTCCATCTGTTATAACTGACTGATGACACAGCTTCATTACTTTACTCTGCTAGCTTCATAATAAGTAAACTAAAGGCTACACAGATCGAGAGAACAAAATAATTTACAAATTACTACACAGTTCAAAGAATAATCTTATTAGCAAACAAAAAAATATTTACAATTTATTTATCCACATTTTTACTACACTTTTCTATAAGATCTGATCATTCGCTATTCCTCTTTTACAGTTTCTCCATTCAGGAGTCTGTTTAGTATCTGTACTGTTGCTTTACAAGACAGTTGGGTCATCACTGGTCTCTGGACTGTCTGTCTGCAGTTTGTGAGTTAACAGGAAGAGGACACTGTTTTTTGTCTGCTGTGTGAAATTAGGGACTTGAATTGTTTTGATGTTCACATACAGCTACACATTTTTATTAGAGTTAAGAAAACATAGACATAAAAAACTGAAGAAGTTAAGTAAAACACTTTAAAAACACTTTCAGAAAACATCTAACACTCATATATAAACTGTGGCATCTGCTTATAAACAAAGTTCATGTTTTTTTAATGGGCTCTGTGGGGAATAACTCGCGTAAATGCAAAAACTAATGAGGATCCTGATGGAACAATAAATCAGTTCTATCTGCAGAAAATGAGCGTAATATATATATATATATATATATATATATATATATATATATATATGAAACCATTTTACAAGGCTGCATATTATTATGTATATATATTATATTAAACAGAAATTACAATCAGGAACATACAGAGATGCAGAGCTGAGCTCCACCCAGCATGTGAATGTGGTGAGAGAACACAATGCAGATCACTAACAGCCTCACACTGAGCTTAACATACCAACATTTATATCAGAATGATTTCAGCTCTTAGCATTTTATACTCTTCATAGAGAAAAGACGCTCTGCACTAAATACACAGATATGATTATATTTACAAAGAAAGGAAAACTTTTCACATTGTAGCTGATATTTGGATTTACAGAAGTTATGAAAAAGCTGGTAAAATAGCAGGTTTTATTATAACAGTTTGGCATTAAAAGAAAAAAAAATATTGTATGAAAATAAAATTAAATTCTTTGTAGAGTTTTAGAGTCTCTACATGGAGCTATGAGTAAATACAGAGGAAAAAAGAAGAACTTCATTAATTTTACATCTTAGGAAGTCTGAGATTAAAAGATAAAATAAAAAAAAAATCATTTTCTAAATAAAGTAATTCAAATTAAATAAAGAAATTCAAATTAATCTCCAAATAATCAGAGCTCCAGAAACACTGAGCTCACAGATATCATAGAGAAACATGAACAACAAAGAAACAGACAACGTCAAAACAAACATCCACAAACACAGTTCAATACAACATCCTTAATCTTAGTCCTAATCCACCATGTTCACTCACACTGGATCATGATGAAGGGATCTAAAGTGAATCCACTGTATATGGAGTTGATCACCTTCTCTGTTACTGAGTACTGGACTGAGGGTCCAGAGCTGTGTACGGGTCATCAGGAGAACTGGACTGAACAGCCTGTGTGAGGGAAAGAGAGAATGAAGCAGAGGAGGAGAAATGAAGAACTCCATTTAGTTTTCTGAGTTAGGAATTCTTTACAGATCTAGAGGGAGGATTTGTGAAGAGACACTCACTGCAAGTGTGTGGTACATATCAGAGGACCTGGCTGTGGGCTGAAGAGCTGTGTATGAGTCATCCTCAGCATTAGGGTCAGCGTTCTGGACAGAGGATGGTTAGAAAAGGTGTAGAGAGACTGAAGGAGTTTAGTGATCATTAAGTAAATTTACTGTAAAATGCATCCTACAAACCTCAATATTATTGAGTCAGTCTTATTGAGCCATCTAGCATAAATGTTTTGTAATTACAGACATAATTTACTAGATCAAAGGTTTGATGGTAGCAGTTGATGGTGCAGTCGTAAGTGGGTAATGATATGAAAATGAAATGGTTACACTAAACTAAATGTGACATGTTAATTTTCAAATTGCTAATAAATAATAAATAAATAATTGATGTGGTAACTAATTGGTTAAAAAGTTTTTTTTTTTTCTAGGATTTTAGGTTTTAGGGTGTTTGTGTGTGTGTGTGTGTGGTGTGTGTGTGTGTGTGTGTGTGTGTGTGTTTGGAAATTGCTCAATATTATACAAATTAAATAAAGAACAATGGAAAGAATAAGTAACTAATATGAATCTCACCTCCTCCAGAGAACTACAGTGAGCAGAGCTTCAACAACTACATACAGAATCACTGAATACAGAAACACTGAACCACCTGCAGTGAGACACACACACACACACACACATAAACACAATCTGCAGTGTCATAATATAATTGAGATATTGAAAAAAACAATGATTTTAATAACTACATTTGAAGAATATAAACTATTGCAAAACACTAAAGAATTAGGAATATATTTCTCTTATTATTCACCACCGACTCTTAACAGTGACCATCACAGGTCCATTCTGAACTCCATTCTGAGCTTCACAATAGTACAGTCCAGTGTGGTCTGTATGATGCTGTAACTCTGTCCAGATCCTACAGGTGAGGTTCCACCTTCTTTAAACGAGGTGTAGATCTTCATAGGTGGGTTTGCATCGCTGCTGCAGGTCAGAGTCACTGAACTGCCCTCCACTATTTCACCAGAAGGACTGATGGACACTGAGATGCTCTTTGGAGGATCTATACACACAAATGATTTGATTTCTTTATTCAAACAATCATCACAATATCACAATCTTCTATTTCGGTGAATAGTGCTATGTAATTCATTTCATTTTGAATTGCTTTTAAGGAAAATAAATAAATACACAGGTAAACTCACATCTGACTCTGAGGTTGTGAGCAGTCGAGTGGAGGTGTTGATATCCTCTTACAGCACAACTATAACTGCCTGCATCCTCACTGCTGACTGTCTGCAGGTGGAGCTGGTTGTTCTTGATGCTCTTTGTGGTTAAAGGATGTCCATTTTTGTACCAGATGAATGTTGGGTCAGTCAGACTGCAGGTGGTTTTACATGTCATATCTGCTGTTTCTCCCTCTGTCACTTCTTCAGGAGTTTCTACATGGAGCTCTAAGACAATAAGAGGACCATCAGATTAAGAGAGAAAAGCTGTAAAGACAGTGAACCTCATTCATCAAAGTTACAAACAAGTGCAGAAATGATTGCAGATTAAACTAAACTGAATGATTTTTTACCTTCTCTTCTTCTGATTCAGGAAACTATTGTACAACAAAGTAGTGATTTGGACGCAACTGATGAATCAATTTCAGTGCAGTGAAACAAGTGAGCATCTTATTTACATATCATTTGCAACAGGTAACGCCCTAATGTGCCCTCAAAAATATAGAATTGACATAAAGTTCACACTAATTGATGCAGATATTTTGAGAGTGAACTAAAAAATCACAAATTATTCAGCAGATCATGAACCACAGGGGGACTTTGGAGTTGAGTATCAGGTCCACCGCTCACCTTTGTACATCTTTATAGTGTTAAAATTACAACAGTTTATAATACTAAAGTGTGAAATTAACTAAATGTAGCTCTTTTTAGGATAATTGTGTAATGTGATTAACTTTATAAAAACTGGCTACTTCAGTGACAATATTCCAGTCTTAAACAAGAGTTTATACTGCACAACATTAGCTATGTTTTGTATTTTATGGTGTAGATTTTATGGTTATTTGCTATATTAGCATTATAAAGCACACGTTTTTAAATGAAATGTAAATACACATTTCTTTACATCAGTGTACACTTAAAAAGGTACATTCACTGTAGTACAAGGACTTATGTGTGAAAAAATATTAGTATTATAGTTATTGTGTTCTTGTTGCTGTCATATATATATATATATATATATATATATACAGGGTAACTAAAAAATTGATTCTGAAAAACGATAAGTACTTTAATTAATACTTAAGGTTTTATCTTTTCCTATAAATTTACTGTTTTGGATATACTTTTTTTAACCAACCAACAACAAAATATGTTTGTTATTTATACAACTTGCTCAATCAATTTGTTCTTAATATCAATAACTAAGTGATAAGCCTGTAGTTTTAAAGGATTCATGTTTTTCCTGAAATGAGCAGATAAACTGATTTAGGTGTAAGAACAGATAAAATGATGTAGGAGTGAATCAGAACAGAAGCTGAACATCATTAGAGCAGATTAATAAAATCAGTGATGATAAAACAACATGAATATTCAGAGCAGTCATGAATAAGATACATGACTCTGAAACCAGAGCTGTGACTTATAACTGGACAATGGGAGGATTAACTCACCTGTAACTCTGAGCTGAACTCCAGGACAACCTGTCCATTTTTCTTTTTCTTCATTTTTTCTGATTCTGAAGCAGAACTGATGTTCATCCTTCTTCATTACATCACTCAGTTTGAGGGAGAAGTGTTTCTGTTCATCAGTGAAATACTCGACTCTGCCTGAATAATCTGGGTCTTTACTCAGATCATGAACATTATCTGGGTCTATAGTCCAAAAAGTCTTTGTCACTGTGAGACCTTCTGGGTGAGTATAAGTTCCATTCATAAACACTGTGGATCCTTTTAAAGCACATATTTCCTGTTGGTTGTACTTCACACTCCACTCTGTTCCAAAAACTCCTGAAACATATGATGCATGAAAGAGCTGATTACAGAGTCTGGAGCCCATAAGACAGTCAGAGTTACTGTAGCTTACAGCTTCACTTCTCTCCTCTCTAACTCCAGCAGCTCCTCTACAACACTGAGCTGATTCTGAGAGAAACCACAAAGCCCAACAAACACTGACTCACCGACAGTCATGAGCAGAAAGATCAGAGGAAGAGGAGGCGCCATTATCAATGACCTCATCACAGCAGCCTGGAGGACATTTTTAAAGTAATGACAGTTAAATGAAATGTTTCCAGATCTTCATCTAAAGTCCTGAAGAAGTCTAAAACATTTAAAGGCTGACACTGTAATGAAGTCTGTGTTTAATTTAATCAGTTCTTCATAACTGTATGTTATAATAGCCTCATTATGAAAACAAAAACTTACTTACATTTTGAAAACAGCTATTAAACTGACCATGTTTCTACTAATCTATAACCAACATTCTGAACTAAAGAAAAACATCTTACCGTTCTGTAAAGAGACTCATCGCCATCGTCCAAATGATAAATGTTGAGAACAGAGACAGAACTGAGATGTAAAACTTGGTGTGGTTAACACGTTTAACTGTAAGCTACTGTGCTTCTTCCTCTCTTAGATTGCACGTGACCATCTCAGCTGCAGCAAGAGATCTTTGTCTTAAACTTCTGCAAAGTCTAAATTATCTCTTAGTGACACTGTGACCTCTTTCTGTTTTAGATGTCTATTAAAGTTTTATAATATTAGACATGTAATGCTGTAGGACTTTATCCAGCTCCTCCTCTTCTCCTGCTACTGTATGAAGCAGTAATTGTCACTGGTGTGTTTATCAGTGCTGATCTCAGTACAGTGTTACCCAGCTGTTAGAATAAACATCATCAGATCATCTGAAGAACAGAGTGAATGATCTGCTACACTCTAGTATCTAGTATAGTAAATGCCATGTAATTACTACATTACCACAAGTGATTTATTTATTTATTTATTTATTTATTTATTTACTTACTTATTTATTTATTTTATGAGATGACAGATGAGGGATCAAGTGAACACGAGTGTTTACTTCAGCAGTAAATGTTGGCCAAATATCATTGTAACCTGATGTATTTCCCTCTTCACCCCCATAAATACTAACAAAGCTGGTCATGAATAACAAAAATCAAACAGAACTAAATGAAAAAATAATTTTATTTTTTCAGCCACTCACAGTTTCTCCATTCAGGAGTCTGTTTAGTGTCTGTACTGTCACTTTAAGACACAGTAGGGTTTGACATCATCACTGGTCTCTGGACTGTCTGTCTGCAGTTGTGAGTTAACAGGAAGAGGGCTTATATTTGTACATTTAGGACTTTATGTCCTAATCAGCTTGCTGCAGGCTGTGCAGTGAAGCCAAATACTCTAGTATTGGTAATTAATAATAATGCAGTTGTTAGTAGCGGGTTTTTAGTTTATAAACTAGCTTATTCAGTTATATAACCAGTTTGCTTATTACTTAATTGATGAACTTACTTACATTTTGAAAACAGCTATTAAACTGACATTTCTGAATCATTATGACCAGCAAGTTCACAAGAGAAGGTCTTTATTAAGCATCATGGATCACCACCTTCATTGAGAGCTATTCTCTCCACAGTGTAGATTTTAGGCGTCTCATTTTGTTCCTCAGGCAATAAGAAGACTTGATATGAATTTTATTTACAATATATTAGTTTTGTCTTATTTGTTAAGCATCATGTGAACATATACCGTATGTTCACCAGACTTACCCCAAAACAATCCCACATGAGACAATAAAATTTAACTGAACTTCTTCAAAAATGTGTACTGTAGGCAATGTTTCTACTAAACTATAACCAACATTCTGAACTAAAGAAAAACATCTAAATGTTATCTACACTCTGAGAACAGCAAGTGAAGACAAAAGAACCATCTCTGAGGTTTTAAGCTGTTTGAAAAAAAGTGTTTCTTTTACATTTTGTTCTTCTGCTTTTTTGCTCCCTTGTTCTCTTCTTGTGCAACAGCTGGTCAGTCTAAAACCAACTGTCTTTCAGCTCAGTCAGTACAGACATTATGTCCTAATCAGCTTGCTGTAGGCTGTGCAGTGAAGCCATATAATCTAGTATGGTAATTAATAATAATGCAGTCATTGGTTTACAAACTAGCTTATTCATTTTTTATAACCAGTTTGCTTATTACTTGTCTAACACAGTAATTACTGTTACAGTAAATACTGCAAGGCAATATAAAACATTCACACATGCAGTAGGAAGAATTACAATCTCCATTTATTCTGGTGAGGAAATCATAGTGAGGTGAATTAAGATGCTCTGCTGGATTGTTTAAATGTTTACAATTTCCGTAATATCCTAATGATGGACTTTATATTAATCACTTATGCAGACAAACTCTCTTAATATTTTTACCTTTATCTACAAAATCTAGAGGTGTAGAGCTATACCTCCAAAAGTGTTGGTGCAAAAAAACAAAACAAAAAGAAAACAAACAAAAAAAATAAAAATAAGACAGTTGTCTGAGTGACAAAAATGTGAGGTTTTATGATATTGCAACTTTTTTTATTTGCTTCAGTTAGTTTTCACTTCAACAGCTTAAGGGACCAAAATTTGGTGTGAATATGTAGGTACATACGAATATGTACCTTTTGTCACTTTTTTTCATGTTTTCTGCCCCTCCCCCACTCTCTCAGCTAAGAAGCATGCGTGGACCTCATGGTGAACTTTTCGCCTCATTTTTCTAAGTGTGACTGCATTTTGATTCAATCTTAAGTGAATTTAGCTGTAAATTTCTGATTATCATCACTAAACTGAGAGTCTGAGTCAGTGAGGACTGTTTGAGACACAAGGAGAAGTGGGGCACCACCTCAGTGACAGTTTAGGGCCTCTTATCCTGACAGTGTACCTGGGGCCATATTACAGAAACTTCCTTGTTGTCTTAAGCTCCGACAGGTAAAGATAAGATTTTTCAGAAATTCATACTACAGAAGCAAATCTTATCAAATCTTATCTTAATTTAGGAATCTTATCTTACAGCATCTCATCTTATCTCAGGTTAAGAAATCATGACTTATTCGATCGAACACTACAATGAACTGTCATGTCTCTCTTAACAACAGACCACATGTGCACAGCTGAAACGTAAACTCATAATCAAAGTAATCAAGCTAGTTAACCAGGCAGCCAACTACTGACACTGAAAATAAATAAAAAATTAAATTAAAGCACAATAAACTGAAAGTTAAGAATATTGTGACAGTGCTTTGTGCTGTTTATCAGAGTCGCCGGTCCACAGTTTCAGTTTCATTTCCCAAACGCTTTCGCCGAGTGCGCTAACATTATTCCTCCTAATAAACAGACACACGTTCAGCTCTGTCTCCTCACTATTCACCACCATCACTGTGATATATTATCATCACCATTAACATACAAAAGTAATTAGAGGGTGTGGTGGAGATCGAGTCTGCAGTGTCTGGGGTTTTCAAAATGATGTTAGAAAAGGTAAAAGCACAGTTTTCAGTTTAGATAAATGAAAAAAAAACAAAAAAAAACAGATGGTTGAAGCAGAAGGTAAGACACTCTGGGGTTGTCCCCCAGTTTAGCCACTCTGTTTTTGTGGAGGGTTCACCATATTGAGGGCTATTCCAAAATAATTAGAAAGGTTTAAAATGGATTATACAACCCTTTGACAGTGAGGAAACACACACACTTTCTAAGCTCCACCATATTATACATAAAAAAAGAAAAAAGCTGATAAAATCTAAAGCAATTATCTAACAATTTGGCATTATAAGCAAAAGGATACCAAAATGAAATCCCCTGTACAGTTTTAGATTGTCTACAGTTTTTGTCTTAGCAGGAATTTATTGAAGGTCATTGTGTCTCGAACATTAAATCGTGACCGGCTGGGATGACTAAATCAGATACATGTGTATTTACCTAAGTTACATTAGTTAATCTTTTACAGTGAATGCATCACCAGTAGGTATGTTGATGATGATTTGTTAATGGGAAACTACATGGTTATTAAAGACACTGTAAGAACCTTTGATGAATGAACAAATTAGATTAATTCTATCGATTTACTAACAAACAGAATCATAGAACAGCACCTTGGACAGCACTTTCACCTTTACACAGCTACATCCAAACCTTAGACCTACACTGCCATCTAGAGGAAGAGTATAGAGTAACACTGTTTTACAGTGACCTTATTACAGTCTAATGAACAATCTGACTACAACTAAGATACTGATGAATGGAGAGTGTTTAAATGGTTCAGAGAACAACTACACATCTAAATTTGACAATTTCACATGGTATGAAAAGACTGGCTGAGATTAGAGTCTGAGCCTGGATTTGTGTCCATGTTTTTATTTTAAATGTAAATGTTTGGACATTTTTATTATTACCTATGTGAGCTAAACCCTGAACATTGTATATTTTATAGGTGACACTATAGTTTTACCCCAGTGACCACAGTTTTATTTGTACTGACAATTTTAGACAAATACTTCTGCCTAACGATCAGGCTCCCTTAGTTTCTCTACTCATCTTGCATTACTAACTGGACTTATTCCTGACATCAGTGTGACTGTGGCAACAGGAAGGACTGGTATTATTGCCAATACTGTGCTGTATTATTTATATCGCAGTGCTCCTTTGTACTTTGTGAGCCATAAACTTGATTGATTGATTGATTGATTGATTGATTGATTGACCTTTAACTTAATTGTACAATACAAAAAGATTCAGTATGCAGTCTGGACTCAACTGAAACCACTGACCTTGAACACACAGCACAACTATTTCAAAAGAGAACAAACCGAGAAGATCATCACTGTTTGACCTTTAGGGGGAGCTCTAACACTCTGTAATGACCTACAGATTGATTTGTAGGGAGAAGTAGAGAGAAACAGACACAGAGAGGGAATTTAGCCTTTAACCTTCTACCCCTGTTCACTGACCTGCAGTTTAAACTCTCATTATTCTATAAGGTCGTCCAGACTTCAGTTCCAGTGATGCATCTTAGTGCAGAAGTGCTGACTGAAATGAGTCAGTTAAACACTCGACTCAGCTGAAGCATCAGGATCTTTGGTCTAGTTCATATGTGGGTATCTGAACCAAAAAGGCCTTTTCACTGTAAGACATTCTGGTTGAGTATAAGTTCCATTCATAAACACTGTGGATCCTTTT